AGACATTGAGTAAAGATTAAAACAGTTACATTGAGCAACAAAAGAACACACGTACCACTGGCCGACAAATATCGATGAAGTGCGGGCGATGACGACCAATAGTGTACTTAGCTATATCAACTAATAACTGGTTGAAAATCACGCCAAGTAAGAAATAACCTAAAACATTTTTACCAATCAATTCAGAAATTGTCCCTCGTAAGGCAAAATTTCTTACAAAAATTGTGTTCAAACATGAAATTAGAATTGAAAAATGTACAGTGTTTATTAAGCATTAAACGCGACAGTTTTTGATAAGCATATATGAAAAGTAAATTTTTGCTTCCAAAAAGAAACTTGGTAATAATACTTACCAAGAAATATGTATAATCGTACCAGAAAACGATGCACTGGATATCGTTTCAGTTTGTAATTACTGAAATATTCAGTACGCTTTTTCTCCCAGAAGAAAGCCCGAAATAGTTCAGTGAATACTATCTAAAAGGACTGCTGGTCACCTCCGTAAAAAGATAGAACAATTACAAAGAAATCAACTACCTTCAAATAAGCCAACTTCATCTTTACTTAAAAAACTACATTAGAACTGCCTAAAGAACCGATAAAGCAAAAAGACGATCGACTGAGAAAGAGGTGTAAGATTTTATATCAAACAGAGTTTCATCAAGAGAAATTAGTTAGGAGCAGACTTAAAGTTTTGAGCAAATAAAAACTTTATAAAGTACATTCATAAAACCTTGCATTTGTTAAAACCGTGCTTTAAACGGCAGAGTCAACAGCGAAACTGAAAACACAAAAGTCAATAAACAACCCACCAAACTAGCTGGAATGAAAAGACCGACAACAATAAGCATATATCTGGAAACTGTTGAAGCTCGGTATGGATAACGAAGTGATTCATCGTCGCAATAAAACCCACGTTTGTACGGTTTCACCCAAAATTGGAAGATGAGGAGTGGAAATGCTAAATAAGGTAAGTTAAAAATAGAAGCAATTCCTTCTAATAGAAAGGCTACCCTGGAAAACTGAAGAACAGAAAGATTCAATTTAACAAAAAGTGCATCTAATAAGCAAAGAGAATAAAACGACGTACGAAGTTGAAGCTTAAAGCAAGAGTAACTCTACCAAAAGAATAAAATTATATAAAACTAATACCGTTAAAAAAAGGTAACGTTGGCGAAAAAGCTATGCGAATGAAAAAAATCTTAGGACTTACCGAGAAGGGCCAGAATAAAGACATCAACCAGCACTCGTGTTAAACTTATTTGAGCCACCATCTTCGAAAAGTTGATCAACCAAACTTTCTTTTCTCCTTCCAAATAACTTTTTAAACTTTGGTACTACTCAAGCTGAGAACACAAAAAGTAAGCAGCAACTGAAAGATCAACGCTTCAGAAACAACCAGATTTTAGTCTTCAGTTGCAAAGTGGGAAATTCTGAAATCACGATGAATATTAATTCAACAATACTGACACATAAAGACTATATTTTTCAGGAGACGATAACTTGCCAACACCAAAGAAACGTAATAAAAGAAAAGTATAATCCCAACGACGGCAAAAATTTCTGACTCTAAAAGCTCTAAAAAGAAGTTATATGTTTTGTCGTCACATAAGACAATGCTTTACAACTACTAAAATTTCCTATTTTTAGAGCAGTATTCTTCTGTCTCCTTAGAAAGACAAAAATTCACAACATTCATTATAGTTTCTGGTAAAAATATTATCACGGATAATCCTATCAGCAAATGCAACTTCTGTTAATTTTTCTAGCCTAGCAAGAAGACACTTTTTTCCTCTCATCAGTTAGTTATCTTGCTGAAGTTTTAAAAAACTGTTTTTTGAAAGTTCTACAGAAAAAAAGACGGAGATAACAGCTCGGCATTGCAAATGTTTCCACATCAAATGATATCCCAAAAGCTAATGATGAGTTATTTTAAAAACAAAAAAAAAAAATTATGAATTAGTCATACGATTCATCTTTTCGTTTCTTCTACTGAAATCATTTTTTTAAATTGGCACCAGATGATTGCAACTTGTACAAAGAGCAAAAGTACAAATTTTTCAGGACTAAGTCGACTTTCTCGTTAAACCCAAAAGTCAGATACAAGAGTGGCAAAAGAAATCAATTACAGAAAAATCTACTTTTATTAGTCAGAAAACACCAAAACTGTATAGAAGATTATCTTGAAAAATTGTGAGGTAAAAACCTTCGATGCCTAAAAACGGTGAAGGGCAAAGAATGAGCAGAGTTATGCAGTTATGCAGTTCGGAATGAAATTCAGCGCAACGACTGCACTGTTTGCCACCTGTCTAATCGGAAATTTATCCAGCCTAAGGCTGTGAACGGTAAGGGTTAAAATGAGAATCTGTTTTTGACTTACTTGGTATCAGTGCAGTAATATAGACAACAAGTTGTGGATCAAAAAACTGTACTCCCCGAGTTTCTGGTGGAACTATCAGTGCTGTCAACGATGCAATAACAGACGCAGCAGACACGGAAATATGGGAGGACATCAGCGGCGGCAGAACGATCGACCAAACACCTGCGTCAATCGATACAAATCATTATGGTGACTTGGCTGTTTCTGCCATTTCACAATAATTTAGTCGCTTCGGAATGTATTCATCATTACCTCTAAATGTACGTCTACTTCTTAATAGCCTCAGATGAACGGCCTAAGCAACTGATCGGAAGCTTCCATTGCAGTTAGCTGTTCATTAAGCAACCATGGAGTTCCGAAGCCACTCCCGAAAACACAACAAGAATAGTCGTTTTCAAGTGTTTCCAAGCTAAAGGTAGCTCAGACAAGGAATGCTCGAGGAGTAAAAAAACTGTTGGTGTAATTAAATGATGCAGCACCTGTATGACAGTATGATGCTTCTTCCTTTATCGATGCCAGTAAAATTCAATGTATGACAAGACTGATCAACCCTTAAATCCAATTTATTCACAGATATTTCGCCTGTGCCTTACTTGTCAAATTTGCTCTCGTTTTAAACCTCTTTTTAAACAATGTTACTTAATGTTCCTTTTGTCAGCTTTTTGTTTTTCAGATGTTTCCACTTTTATCAACAATATTTGCTCGTGTTATTATCAGGTGGTATAATCACATTTTGAGGTTAGTTAACTGCTGAACTTGCCAGTAGAATTTCGTAGGCATGGTCAAAAAGTGGAGGATGTATATCATACTTCAAAGCAGACAACTGGCAGCCAAAAGTAATGCGATAACATTTCCAGCCCTCAGTATCTTTCAGTTTTTCCAATCTCTTTTTATCATTAAAAAATTTGGATTATTATTAAAAAAGAAGAAAAAGCAAGAGCGATTACGACGAATTCCTTCCAAACTCAATCGCATACGACGGTGTTTGTGTATCAAGCTTAAAATTCTCTTAAAAAATCTTTCGCCGCCAGTAAATTCTTAAACATAGTAAAAAACAAACTACGGCTAGTCGTCTGACTGTTCCTGCATCCCATGCATTTTCCAGAAATCAAAACTGGTCCTTGAGAAGCACTCTTTTCCTAATGCTTTTTTAATCGTAATTTTCACTCCAAATCAAACGCCACAGACTCCTCAATGAAACCTTTATACTTCACCTGGTGTTGCTCTTCGCTGCGCTTGCTTTCTGCATTTCTTTTAACTGTACTGCAGTTCACTGTTTGAACTAAAAGAACCATTTAAAAAATATTGGAAGTAATACTGAGATATAATTTAAAAAAAGAAAGACGTTATCGTTCAATATAAATGGGCAACACCAATTCCGAATTCGTATGTTCTTCGAAATCTCAGTCGTTGCTCCGTTGCTGAAACAAAATTTATGTACTTTTACTAGGAAGAACCGTATGAAAAAGCAAATAGGTGAATTGGCAGTTTTTTCAAAACCACATGTATGCACAAACTCCATACACCAGAAAGCAAATGTAACATTTGCTTTCTCACAGAATCTGCCAAAAAATGGCAAATAATAAAACTAAAACTCCCTTCAAATACACATTTGTTTGAGCTGTAATTCATCGTTTGAGATTTCTTTCCAATACTCATGAAATTTTCTTTTACCACTGCCTTCCAAATTTTTTTCTGATGACGAAGTAGAACAAAGGCGTGAAAAAAGGTGGGAAATTGTTGAAGTATTTTGAACAGTAATTACGACCAAAAGTTAACACTTATTCTTGTCAATGTAACCAAGAGGAGGAAAGAAATGAAAATTCCAATATGATATAGTTACAAAATTCTATCAATTACTCAATGTTTTTTTACCTGAATTACTGTTTAAGATTCCTAAATCCTTCACAGTATCAAATAATTTTTATCTATGCCTATATTTTAAATTATTAAGAAACTCAGCTTACTCTAATCATTGCAAGAGTTACAAAATCTAAAGACAAAATTCAATGACCAGTTTTTTTTCGCAGAACCCTGCTACCCGTTTCAAGTTTCAAAGTTCAAAATCTTTTAATCTTTCCTTTCTAAAAATTATACCGTTTAAAATAAGGCGACCAGCAAAAATTTAAACAGCCTCGGTATCGCTATGGCAGAGTGACTGAAACTTTGAACAGGAATGCGGCTTGAAACTTCAACTTTACAACAATTTGCGCTTAAGATAAAGATGAATCAGTTCGATTCACTTCTCACCAAACTATCTAAATATCTGGCGCCAAAAACAAGATCTAACAGTAAAGTAAATCAATAACAAAAGCATAAATCTAAAAGCAGTTTGTAAAACAACATCTGGTTTGAACAAATTATTCGGAACTATCGAAATTGGAAGAAATAACGTTCACTATCAAAAGTTTCTGCTAATAATAGGCACAATTTCATTGACATCTGTATACGGTAAGTGGTAAAAAGAATTGTATGATTTTATTTAGAACATAACTTACAATTTAAATTTCGCACTAAAAAGAAAAACGAAAAAGAAGTTGCATCCAAAGAAAAAGAAATACCGCAAAGGTCCAAAGAAAAAACCTTTTCAAACAGTAAAAAATAAGAAAAAAAGCAAAAGTAAAAGTACACAAAGTTGACTATTTAAAAAAAATTTACAAAATGAGTTATAAAAAGTATCACAATGATTCAAATTTTATGACGATAAATTGATCTGAACAAACCATTCGAACTGATTTTATTGCTCGCGAAGAAAATGGCGACGAGAAATATCCTTTTACAAAAGCTCCACCAGCTAAAAATCTAAAAATCTTTTAAAATATAGATTTATAATTAACCACAAAGATATGCTGAACAAAAAAGAGAGCTGGCATGCACGATCAGTCCAAAAAGTAGGAAAGTTTAAAAAAAAAAAAAAAAAAGTACTCATACGAATGAAAGCCTATAAATATAATGGCAGAAAAGCGAATGAGTGTTAAACACAAATAAGTCAAGTCACTGTGTACGGTATATACTTTACCACCAATCCAAACGTCTTTATTTTACAAGATAGTTCTCAAGAAGAGATTCAATGATGAGCTCTTTTTTTTTTTT